CTGGGTAGGCTAGAGCCCATCAACGCTCAGATCTTCATGACTTGTTTCAGCACCTGCGAAGAAACTCTGCAATTGTGCAATAAGCAGAGATGCACTGAACAGTTTTAGGAAGAGTAGAACTAGGCATCTAAGACAGGGATGGTCAAAAAGTGATACAGTAACTGGGACATTGCTTACCAGTAGAAAATGCTGAGAAGAGGAGCAAATGCCAGTCCCCAGTCCTTGAAAAGAGCTATATCCCTAGCTCAGCGATGATTGTAAGGCAACTGCGTCTGCTCCAGGTTTTGCAGATACTGGAGTGAGGCCAGCAAAGGGCCATGAAGATGAAGGGATTGGAGCATCTGTTGTACAAGAAGAGGCTGAGAGAGCTGGCACTGCTGGAGAAGGCTGATGGGTCATCTTTATCAGTATGTATAAACACCTGAGGGGAGGTTGTAAACAAGAGGGAGCCAGGCTCAGTGGTACCCAGAAAAAGGATAAGAGGGAACGGGCACAAATTAAGAAACATTACATTTTCCCTAATCACAACAAAAATTGCTTACAATGAGGGTGCTCACACTAGAACAGGTTTTCCAGAGAGGCTGTGGAGTTTACATGTGGCTATATTAAAAACTTATCTGGACAAAGTCCTGGGCAACTCGCTGTAGCTTACCCTGCTTTGGGGAGATAGTGCTTGGACTAGATGATCTCCAGAGGTCCCTTTCAACCTCAACAATTCTATGATTCTGTGATCAAAGACACACAGTAATCCCAAGCCTTTTAGGCAACAATGAAATCTCCTTTCTGACACTCTCATTTAGCTAAGTAATAAAATGGTCATTAGGTGACAGAGAAAATGAAAAAAAGGAGTGACTATAGCCAGAGGGTTAGGGTAAATCAGGTTGAAGTTTCTTGCTTCACATAATATTTCATAATGATATGAAGTATAACAGGGTTCAAGAAAAGCACTGAGAAAAAAATAAAAATGCTTTTCTCAGAACACCAACTCCTTGGTGATAAGGAAGTTTTCTGCAATATTAGAAGAGGCAATTAAGTTCAGTCCTAGATGTCCCATGTGCCAGCTGACCGCTCCAGTACTGGAAATATTAGGTACCAGTCACCACCCAGGAACTTCACGATTTTGGAAGGGAAATGAGAGTGTAGGTTAGACCAGAACCTGTGGGTTTGAGACTTGTGAGCATCTGCAGAACATGATTCACAAAAAAACCTGAAAACAGTAAAGTTAAAAACCTCACATGTACATACACATACATATTCTCACAAACATGAGAGCAAAAACAATATAGAAAATCACAGGGCATACCTGAACAATCAGTTTATCCTGAGTCTAATTTGATTGTAAAGGAAACCTGTGAAAAACACTGCTCAAAAGAGCCTAGGGAAAAAAAGATGAAGTCATCCTTGGTTGAAAAATGAAAGGGCTGCGAAACACTTGTTTGGCTGACCTCCAGATGCCTCTACAAAGTCAAATCTTGCAGGTAGCTTAGGAAGATCCAAGTTGAAAAAAAAACCAAACAAACCTACTATTGTGAACTGAAGTTCTGCACAACCTGGTAAAGGAGACAGGATACTGGCAATTTTGCATGATGGCCAGAATCATAATAAATTATAATGCCTAGTAGGACAACGAGGGGAAGGCAGCAGCCGTGGTCAGGGTTTTGGGAGCCTCAGAACCTACCTGGAAGGAAATGAACACTCAGACCACCTACTTAGGTACCTAAGCACCCAAAGTAAGTGCATAGGAAGTAATAAATAAATTCAGAGGACCTGTTAGATGCTTATATAAAATGATGTGAACACTTTTCTGTATCAGATTGGCTAGCCAAATCCCCAAAAGGATTCAGCTGCTGCAGCACATCAAACATGGACTCCTGGCCACAGAAGAGGAATCCAGAATCCCATAAATGCCATGGGAAGAGCTACACACTTCAAAAGGAGATTGAAAAAGGCAGCACATTAGAAAGAGCACACTAAGTCAATGCCTTAGGTGTGCTTAGGGTCCCTTCCAACCCAAAAAATTCTATGATTCTATGAAACCCATATTCCTGAGAACTACTCTTTACTCCACTGAGGTGGTGGTGGGCAGCAAGGGATTGGGGGCGGTGTCAGGTAGACGCCACACTCAAGTTGAATTTATGTCCCTGCAAAGCAAAGAATTAAGGACTAAAGAAAGAATGCAAACATGAACATGATTCTGTAATCTTGTGGCGGGGCACTCCCGTGGGATGGGGGATACCTGCTTCACACACTACTTTTCACCTTTAAAGGTCTGGAATTTCCCTGAAGCCTTTCGGAAATAAAAACCCAGCAACATCCAGGGCTTTGGGAAGAACATTTTATTGCTAAGCATATCTTTAAACAAAATGCAAATAAGAAAAGAAAAAGAATCAAAAAGGAAGAAGAAAAAGAAAGGGAAAAAAAGCAATAACATCACGATAACTCAAAGAAAAATTCTTAAAGTTGTCCATAAAGCAACAGGGATATGGTAGAAGCCCACATACAGAAATGCACATGTTCCCAAAAACTGTCCAATAGAAACTTACACAAAAAAAGGAAAGTGTAAATCTTTTTCCCTTAACTTAAAAAAGGAAAGCAAAAAGGAAAGGAAGAAAGAAAGCAGGAAATCATTTCACAAGACTCCAAGACTCCAAGAACAGCAATCTTTTACAGACATCAAGATATAATCAACTTTATATAGTTTCGGCCAGTTAAGTCATCTAAAATCGTGCTTTCATACCTTTTTAAAACCTGTCTTTTTTTTTTCTTTTTAGTATAAAAAATAAAAAAGGAAAAAAAAGCTCAACCTCGCACACACGCACACGCACCACACACACGCACACATACACGCACTGAAAATATTTGTTAACATGAAAGCGTCTTCTCTAAATGTTTGAGAAGGCTGTTTTATAAGTTCCCATGTGCGTGTGTGTATTTGATGACACTTCTTCAAAGTCAAATATTCATGCGACTTATAAACACCAGCAAGAGTAGATTTCTAAACCTAAACAGCTGATTAGTTTTCATCCGTATACAGAAAAAGTGTACATTTCTGATATTCCAGAGTTCTCAATCCATCTTGGTTTTAGTTGTTTTCCTCTCTGTCTCTCCCACATTTGCTTTTTTGCACATGATAGGCATGGCCGTCAAACCACCTGGCTATTGTTCTGTACAGTAAGATAATCCTTTTCACAATAACTGGGAAAATGTAGAAACCAAACAACCAAATTAAATAAGTTAAATAAAAGCAAAAGACATTCCCAATTTAACCATAAACCAGTATATATGTCATCAGGGTATCCATATAGAAATTATACTAGCAAAAAAAATAGTAGTAAAATATGTAAACAAAATTTCAGATTTTTTTTTTTTTTTTGACACAGGTAACTGTGACAAAGCTAAAACACACACTCTCTTCACATTTTAAGGTTTGATTTTGTTGTCTGTTTCATTTTACTTTGTTCTTCAAGAACATTCTCATTCCACATTAAGACCATAACAGAACGTCTGTTCCAGTCGTCCCATCAAACATACCATGATAAATATATCTGTGTGTATATATATATATATTATATTATTAAATTCCTTTTTCTTTACTATTTTTTGTGTGTCACAGCAGCTTTATTTATTTTCTTTTATATAAAAGAGAAGGAAAAGGGAGAATAGGGCAAATGGAAAGACAGAGATGATCTGAAATGTCAAGCTACAAAATTAAAATATTACATATGAAAAACAGTTTTATCTCAAAAAAACTATGTATTTTGCATTCTTTTACAAGTGTTTAGCTTTTCTGACATTTATGGGTCTTGTCACAAGTTGAACTCCAAAGGTGTCTTTCTGATCTCTTTATTAAACTGATTTATTATTATTTTTTGCATGCATTGCAATCAGTCACAGAACCAGAACCCAGAGGAAGGCTCCTTTATTTTTGCATGGTATATTCAGCTCAGAATGGTTAGCCATTTTTTAAGTATTCTTTTTTGAATCTTCAAATCCCTTTAACCATAGTTTGGCTGTGCTAATGCATACTAAGTGATATTCTCAAATAAAGCCAATGACTGATCAGAACAGACCCAAACCCATCTATTCTTCAGTTCAATTGCAAATACTGGAGCCAGATCCAAGGGAACCAGCTTTCCATGATAATTTTCTTCAGCACCACCCATCAGACACTTTCACTGCGTCGTTAGCAAACAACTTACTGCAAGACGACGGATTCTAGAGACAACACAACCAGATATGCAGAGTAAACACCATGGGTAGCTTTTGAGTTCATATATGGCAATAGTCTCTCTTTATTTATTATGGATTTTTTTTTTTTTCCGAGATTTCTTCTCAACTCATGTCCTGGTTCACCCCCCACACCATTCCTCTCCACCCTTCCCTCCCACACCCAAAAGTAACCAAAACCAACCCAAACAAAAAACCAACCCAAGAAACAAAACAAAACCAAACCAAAAAACCAACAATCTCCAAAATAATTTATTCCCCTCCTCCAATCTCGAAAAATTATATGTATGCTGGACACGGCCAGATCAGTTTGTTCAATATTTTTTGTTGTTGTTTAATAATGTTTGCATTTTTTTCTTTTTCCTTCCTTTTTTTTTTTTTTTAAATAAGTAAACTGAAAAATTATTGATACAGTCAGGGATCACGAACATTGTTAAAGACTCACTTGGAGATAGGAAACAAGTAAGCCATGAAGTCTTCTACCTTTGCAGAAAGTTCAGCGGAGGAGGAGATTTGGAGACGTCCAAGTTCACTAACAGGGCAGAGCTGTGCGCGCCATCTCCAGAACGCTAAGTGTGCTTTATGATACATTAGGGTAGAGTTTGCTGACTCCAAGCGATGACTGAGACATTAACAGTCACTGCTGAATTTTTTTTTCCCAATACTTTTTCCCACAAACGATATCTCCCAATCTCGTTCGCTGCAATGGTTCTGATATTTCAGTTAAATCTCATTAAGTATTTATATATTTATATAAAAATAAGTATTCTTTTTTACACATAATACTCTTTGTCCTTGTTTTTCTGTTTCTTGTGGCCGCTCTTTGAGCTCTGCTGCTTCTCCTTCACGAGCGTGCCGTTGCTCTGGGCTGAGTTGCTGATGTAGTTCCGCGTCTCGTCCACCTGATAGGACCCCTCGTCCCTGTTCCTGTACTTGTACATGGCGTACAGGAGGATGAGGATGCAGAGGGCGGCAGCAGCCACAATGCCGACGACCATCCCCGTTGTGCTGCTCGACTCACGGACCACCTCTGAGGCCCCCGGAACCCGTCTGATTCCTGGCTCCGTGGGGTTTGCTGTGGGCACATTACGGAACATGGGGGAAGTGATTAGCGGGCTCTTCAGCTTTGTGCTGTCTAGCTCATAGGCAGTGGGCAACGGAAGCAAGACTATGTCAGGCTGGGGTTTGAGCTCACGGTTATTCATTTTGCCGGCTGGCAATTTGGGGACCATCCCAGTCGAGGACGAAGCTGTGGAGCGGATCAGCTCAGGGGACAAAGACGTGGTAGTAGTCCTACCAGTTTCGGAGACTTTGTTAGGTCTAAAGTCCTTGGATTCCCACTTGGGTGCGTGTGCTTTGTAGCCACCTTCGAAGATTGAAGTGGAAAGACTCTTATCTGTTACCAAGGAGAAGGTGGTGTAAAAATCTTCATCATCAGTAGGGGGTAGGTTAGAGTCAAAGGTTTCCCCTGAGCCATACCCAGATATCACCAAGCCATCATCATCACAACCATCGCTGCCTTGGTCCGACAAGCAAGGTAACCCCGCCTCAGAGGTCATGGACAGGGAATCTTTGGTGGTCTCAATAATGGTGAGGAGGGGGCGAAAGGTAGGGGGAAGTGTAATGAAAGGTGCACGAGTAGCAATAGGAGGGATATCTAAAGGGTCTTCTACAAGTAGAGGGATAACTAATTCACCTCCTGGGATGGAAAAGAGAAAAAAAAGAAGATTAGTACATTTTAATGACACAATGCATAATTTTCAAGTCACTTAACTCAAGGGTGAGAGAGGATTTGGGCATTAAGCAAAAGTGTCAGGTTTCTTGCCCTAACTACACTACGTACGTTCCTGCGGGTGCCTTTCATTCTTCCCTCCCACCCTGCTTTGATGGTGGTAAACTGCAGGTTCCATTTCCTCCCTCTTAGCCTGTGCTAGGTACATACAGTGAAATACTCTGAATTTTGGGGGGCCCAAAGTTTTTGATTTTTGAAGATACTCTCAAGTGACTCTGTGGGCATCAATTTTTGGTAGAGACCTCTCTTAGGTATTTGGTTACAAGACTTTAAATCAAGTATTTTAGACTTCCATAAAGCAATGTTCTCCTAGATGGATTTTTACCGCTCATCTTGCCAGTTTTTCCTCTTCTGGTTCTTCTCATTTAAAATAACATTAGTATTTCTTCTCTGCCATTCAAGTTTGCTCACCTTCTGTAGCAGCTTATAAGGCCTTTGCCATTCATCCACTTCTTCTTGATTGTTGCCTGTTTTTTAAATTCATGAAAGTGAGGGATGGAATAAGAACCAAGTACTTACTGTGGGTCCATGAAAGTACAGAGCTCTACTCAAGGCTTGTTCATCTCCTTCTAATCTTTCTTTACCATTTTGTTTGACACTAGGGATGTCCCTTTCCTTGCACCTCTTGGGGCTACTAATGCCATACTATCTTCATCTTTGGTTCTTCTTGATATTCTTTTACTATAATTTGATTAAAAATTAAGATAGAATTTATTGTGATTGATGATATAACTGAGTAAGGACTCTGATGACCCAAATTAGCACTTGAGTCCAGGAGTGTACTGCAGAAGTTGTCTTCACACCTACGGTTACTTCTTGATATGCAGATAGCTGTGACTGGTGTTACTTTTTCCTAAAACGATGGCTACCTGCCTACAGAGGACTAAAAATGAGGTGGTCTTATGGTCTACTCTTGAAGTAGAACATTGAAGCTATAGCTGTAACATTTGCACCTTACCACAGTATAAGCTGCAACTGAAACAAGAAAATCGGTGCATAATTTCTAACGTTTGGTTTCTGAGCAGCAATATTACTACTTTTAGGGTAGTAGTCCTGTTTTCTCTATATATTGTAATATGACCGTACTTCTGCTTTTGAGCCTATGGGTAATTAACACTTCACTGTTTTATTCTGATGTGAAGGCCTAATTAATTTATCTAATTAATTTAGTTCAGACTACATAGTCTTCTGCTGACATACAGGTCGATGACACTTTCCTAGGGTAAGCCATATTGCTTTTGAAAGTTTATGTACAAATTCTCCCTCGGGTAATTTTTTTCAGCCAGCCACATAAGTTAGCTGCTTTAAATATAAATTGAAGAGTTCATCTGACACCATGAGTATTTGATTTATACTCACCATTGCTTAAGGAAAGATATGCAAAAGGAATTTCAGCTTCCAGATAAGTAATTCTGGCTTTTACTTATGTATTAATAACTGCTAATGAACAGTTTGGCATTGTTACAATGCTGAATGGCATCAGGGTCAAAATTCTGCTCTCTCTCCTATCTACGCTATGTATTACACACACTTGTTTCCCATTGAATACTGGCAGTAATGACCATGGGAGTTCTATAAAGAATATGGTATAAAATCATAATCCCTTCTAAATATATTTGGAGAGGAATATATTTGAACAAATTACATATTGAAGATAGCAATATACTGAAAAAGGTACTTAGCAGTTTGATTAAATCTGGATAGCTGAACTAGCAATATGGCTTATTCTTATCCCTAATGAGAAACTAAGTGGTGACACAGTTTAATCAATTGAAACAGTCAGATTTATCTCAGAGGTACCAGGGTAGAATTAGGCCAAAATAAGAAATGTGGTACTTTGCATAATTTCATGCAAAGATAGTTTTAAGCTAAGATATAAAGAGCCAATTTGAATATGTTGTTTAGTTTTCTGAGCTTCCTCAGCATGTTCATACCACTTTTGTTACTGGATAAAGGACGAAGAAATAAGTATCATATGTGTAAAAGAATGCCAATCTCTTCAAACTACATATCTTCAAAAAAATTATGTAAAAAGCACAAAGTGTAGCCTGCCAAAGGGCTACACAGCATTTGGTGCTCATGCATCTGAGCTGCTTACTGTGCAATGTGGAAACCAGAGCATGTAATATGATTTATATATGTCCAGAAGCCCTATCCATGGTTAGAGTAAGGCATCTATAATCTATGCAAACAGGTGGCCTCACGATAAGCTTAGAGAATGCCTCAGAGGGAAAGATCATCCATGAAGCTAGTAAAAAATGACTAAAAATAGTAGCATTTAAGTGTGCATTACATCAAATGGCATGAGTGGAGAATTTAAGTTCCAGAAAATCAGGGATAGGTAGTGTATCTTTAAATGATTTTTTTAAGATCAGTGTTTTTACTGTTAAAAAGTAGTATTCATCTGTGATTTTCATTCACCATCTGTGGCATCCAATTTGAAAAAATCAGTTTGGCAGCTTTTAATTGCTCATCTAGAGCTTTGAAGTGCCTTTGTTCTTAAAATCTATTATACTGGCACACAGCATCAGTATGCAGTTGATCTGCCACCCACTGGGGCAATATTTCGGGCAGATTTCTCCCAAAGAGAAATTATTTTCGTCCTATTAATGATTAAGTTTCTTGAAGGTATCAGAAAATCTTACATTTAAAATGAAGACCTTTCTTTTGCCCCAGTCACCCTTGCCTTTAAAACTAGGTCATAGTTCTACAGTTTTTGTTGCTGTCAAGGACTTGAGCCAATGATCAAGACTCCAGCAACTATAAAACCGATCATGGTCTTCCTGAAATGTTGAGAAAAGTTGATAGAATTGCTACGGTAAGTGGGGTTTCACATAAGTGATGGAAAGCAGATCAGAGCTTTTTGATTCCAGCAAGTCTGTTGGACGGGAGACAGTAAGACAGAATCAGGAATGAGTTTTAGAAAGTTTGAATCTCACAATGTATGCAAGAAGAAACTTGCACACCAGGAAGACTGGATTAACTTTGATTTCACATACAATTATTTAATCTCATCTCTAGTTTTATTCCAAATTGTCCAATGATCCATATTATGTTTACCTGTATACTAAAGACATCAGAGACTGTTAAAGGTCCTTCATTAGGAATCACTTCTCCCTCAAGGAGTTCATCTGTTACATTTACTTTAGACAACATACTTTTGGGGAGTATCACGGAGATGGCTGTAAGGGTGGTAATGATGCTTTGAATTTTTTATTTTTCTTTCTGTCTGTAATGGAAGAAACTGTGAGACTGAAAAAAAGCCATGTGGGAGAACATAACTCATAAAAAGCACTCCAGGTATCAAATCTGGCTTCTGTTTTATTGGTATGTGAGGCATCTATGCAAAAATCACAGCAAGCTAGAAGTTGTAAGGCTAATAGGATGCAAGCACAATGAATACTTCTTGGGGAATGTGATTTATAGAGGAGTTAAAGCATCCTTTAAAATGGCATGATAAAAATGCCACTTAGTCTCAAAGAAATGTGTTATTTAAGGATAACAGGGAATGTAAATTCTCAAAAGCTCCCAGGAAAGTGCGAGAAACGTGATCACCAATATCTATGGAGGAGGAGCAAGTGCAAACTTTCACATCATACCTGCAAACAGCTCTGTTACTGGCACTACATTTCTACACGTAAGAGACACAAGGGCGAGTCTGATGACAGGAGGATGATAAGTGTGTGTGTAGGGGGAACCATCTTTCACAAAATGACAGCTGAGGCAGCAAGAAGCTGCCCAGAGCCAGTGGCCCTTTGATGGAGAAGTGGTGCCTCTTGCCCAGGGCCCCAGGTTGGTTTAAAAGTAAGCACTGAAAGATTTAAAAGACAAAGTGCCACTCAGTTGCCAAGAATATCTATCTTACATGGGATTTGGAACCTGAAAGGTTTGCTGTGGAAGGCAAGTGCTTTAAAGATTTGGATCTCTAGAACAAGCTAAAGAGGAGTCCCTGAAAAATTTTATATGACAATTTGGAAGGGAAAGACATTTGAATCAGATTTTGTGTTTGTATTTTCCTATCTGAAATTTTTCTTTTCTCACAATGTCTACCATTTTTTTCAATTGCAAAATTAATGCTTTGCAGCCTTGAATAAAACTTAAAGTGTTAATTTTCAAATTGTTCTGTGCTTAAAAAAATGGAAAGGCTGCTACCCAGTTTGGTCCATGGCTTCAAAACATATATTCATATGAGACTGAGATTATGTTTGTGGATGATATGGGCTGTTTCCTACTAGTTACAGCTTTCCTCTCTCTTTTTCCTGTTGGCTGTCAAGCAACAGTTAACAGCCTTCACTGGTATGCCACAAGTTCAGGATTACTTTAGCAATCCGAAGATTTCACAAGGATTTTCCAGATTTATTTTGCACCTTCTCTGTGCTTTCTCTCCTAAGCAGGGAATGGATGTTTCCCAAACAGAAATAGTTTTAAAAAAGCTTCTGTTGACAACACAATGCCAAAGAATTAAACAAAAGTGAAACAGATAAAATTGTTTCCTCTGCAGTCACATAAGTGCAAAATTAGTTTGTCCTTCAACAGTATAGTTGCAAAAAAATTACTGAACAGCAAACTGGAAGCAGCCCTGAGAGAACTGAGGTCTGTGAGGTGGGAAACCTTATACTGAGCAGCCCAGTGTTCTGCCTGGCCTTCTCATTCCACGAAGCAAACACAGTGTGCATATATTCCTTAAAAGTTAGCCTTTAAATCTAGCACATATACTATTTTCACAGAGTTGTGCTTTTCTTTTAACTACCAAGATCATTGGGGATATAAAAGGTCTACTTTAGCCTTGGAGCTGCCCTGCTTTTTGCTTTATGAGCTTATTTATAGATATATAATTCATACCTCTGGGGCTGATCTCCAGTAAGAGTTCTCTGCCACTGGAAAAGACAGAGTGTTAAAAATTTAAT